TTTTCGTCATCTTCTTCTCCTCCTCCTTCTTCTTCGTCATCTTCTCCTCCTCCTCTTTCTTCGTCATCATCTTCTCTTCCTGCTTCTTCGTCGTCATCTTCTCCTCCTCCTTCTGTTTCGTCATGTTCTTCTTCTCCACCTCCTTCTTCGTCATGTTCTTCTCCTCTTCCTTCTTCATCATCATCATCATCTCCTTCTTCTTCTTCTTCTTCTTCTTCTTCTTCTTCTTCTTCTTCTTCTTCTAATTTCGTTTTACGTCAGAATCCAGTGTTGAATATTTATTGTTAGGTATTTAAAATATTTCACTAAGTACATAGCGAAGACGATTGGATCCCTAAGAATCACTTCCGGAATCCATTCCAATATACTGCCTTTATTTAGTAGTGCCAGGAAAAAATCTGTATTTTATGGGCTGATATTGAAATCGGCGAACTGTAATCAAATTTTGGTTGATTCTATTTCGTTCATTTAACGTTGATATCCATGGAAAATAAAATAATCGTTTTTCCCCAGCTATGGGTTAAATATCAGGCTAGACTCGATGATCTTGCCTTGAATGACAATCTATGACAAGAACACTTAATTCAAAATGAGACTGAAGAGGGATCGACCTCGTCAGGTTATCTTGCCTGTGATATTAACAATGCGCAATATATTTAATATCTCTAACGGGCTACGGGACTGATCACTCTACGACTTCTTCTCTGCTTATAACATCCGATGCAAAGCATTAGATATTTTTTTGCCATATAAATGATGAAAAGGGTGTGCGATACAAGCTCGTTAAATCCATACCACCTTTTACACACAAATATTACGATAGGCCAGTATTTAATTTAATATCATTTATTTGTGATTATCAACCATCATCACTAATCGAATATTTTTTTAGATAATAGAAACCATTCTTGTTACATGTATCGCTAAATATCCCCAAACCAAATAAAAGTGTTACTTATTTACTCTGTAAGTCTATCGTCGATCTGTTCTTGAAATAATATATATATATATATATATATATATATATATATATATATATATATATATATATATATATATATATATATTCTGATATTTGCGCTCACTCACAGTCACGTCGACACTGAAAAGCTATTTTCTATCACCCACGACGCTAATTATAGATGCTTCCTCTGTCGATCGGTTTTGAGTCACGAAGGAGAGAATTCTTTCAGACTCGTGAATACAGACACAGAATTGAAAAACAAAAAAACAAAACCAAAACAAATACAAAACAGTTTTCTAGTTTAGACAGTGTTACTTCAGAGAATTACTTCCTGCTCGATGGTATTTCCTTTCTCAAAAAAAAAAAAAAAAGTCCCCGTCCTGTTTGATACAAGGTCACCATGTGGTCCATAAAAGATGGTATTTCCCAAAAGGCATTATTTCTTGTTGGTTTGTTTTCGACATATGTTTCATATTCATTTTTTTTTTTCATTTAACAGATGCGTGGAACAGAGATCTATAAAAAAATGTTTTATTTTCGACCGCTCTACAGGTATTATTGACTTCTGACATAGCATTACATACATCCATATACACACACACACACACACACACACATATATATATATATATATATATATATATATATATATATATATATATATATATATATATATATATATATATGTGTGTGTGTGTGTGTGTGTGTATATATATACATGTATACATAACATGTATACGTGCATGCATTCACGTTTTTTTAATATATGATCATTTATATAGTTTTCTTGCCTATATCGGTTATAATCGTAAATTAATAATTAATTTTATTCTCCTTAGAGGTAAACTAATAGGCCGATAGGAGGATCTGGAGTTTCGCCTAAGTTATTAAAGACTGGATTTACAAAAGAGGATTTCCAACAACGAGTAAAGTAAGAAGAAGAATGGCACTTGTACAGTTTATAGAAAACAGGAACCAGTTTATGTTTACATTTCTTAAAGACTATTACAGGTCACAGGCTCTGAAAGAATCCAATGAAGCTATGATAACAGATGACATGAACGGAGAAGGTATGCAATATTTATTGGTCGAATGGCAAAATATCAGGGATAGAGTGTGTGTAAGTATCAGAATAGACACTGAAGTCAACACCGATTTTCAACAGTTTGTATTATGTTTGCACTTAAGTTTCAGGTAATCTCCATATTACGTTTTTATTTGTTAAAAACAGTGCTCGATACAAAAGGAAAGCCTAAATATAATTATTTATTTTAAAATATGATTCCTCCGCTACACAAGAGTTCACATGTTTCAAAAACAAGAGCTGAAAACTTCAATATAATTATTAGAATTAAATTCAATTAAGTACCAAGCTCTGTTTTATCTTCAAGCAAATGAAACAGAGCTTGGTACTTTAATTCAATTTATATATATAAAATAAAATTGGCAATAAGATTCGTGATATTTATTATATATTAGCATTTGACTAAATTGAAGAGATAAATTTTAAAGTCAGAATTTCCGGACACGCCAATGTCTTTTTTCAACCAACTGTTCCATAACATTGATGATATGAAATGCTTGCTTTAGCGTCTTCTTTTAAAAGCCGACAAGAATGACGCAGATCTGAGATAAAATACATTTTCATAATAGAATCACATGTTAGAGGATTAAACAGGGATTTGGGTTTACTCAGACAATACAGTTTCCACAGCGATCCCTCTAACCACTAACTTTGCCCGGAACTGTCAGTCCCACATCTTTGTTTATTCCACGTCTCGTTGAAAAAGCACACAGGCTTGTCCGACTGTTCCGATTATTTCCAACCAACACCCACTTTGCCACATACGAAACAGCTCTGTCTCTCTGGAGTATGTTTAGGCGAAATACATTCCTAAGTTCCACTAGTTTTAACATTCACAGCTAAGACACGACATGCCACACATATTGAAGGGATACACCCTACTTTCTTACATATTTCATTGGTGAGATGTAAATTCCATTGCAGCAGCTTCTTCACATCAGCCGCTGTTTTCTGGAGCCGATTGCAAAGAGGTTGCTTCCTAGGTCACTACAATTATAAGCTGTTCAAATTTAGGATCAACCGTTATCTAACCCACATATCCCCTAAACTGTGCTGATTAACCTGTGATATTCTACCTTGAGTGACTCTTTTGTCTTGCATAAGAGGAAAATTATTGTAAAAAAATATGCACAATTTAGCCCTTAATAGTCATTGTCGTTTTTTATTTATTACAAAAATGATATACATCAAATGACATACCATTAGTCCTCAAATTAAAAAAGAAATCTGCATTCACAACCTATTACCAAAAATAAGATGTCTTCGACACAAAGCAGTAAGTCTGCCTCATATGCGAAAATGGTTGTCCCCGGAATTGAAGCGGTGGTAAACTGTTGACGTAAGTTCCGAGGAGTAAGGACGATAGCACAATGTCTCTCGGCAATGGTATCCTTAGCCACTCGCTTCATATGAGGCCTGGCATTGTCATGGAGGAACAGTACATACTTACGATTAAACAATGCTGGCTCCTTCTGATTCAGTGCCTGTTGCTCACGTTCCAACTGCTGTGGGTACATGTCCGCAGTGACGGTTTGAACAGCTGGTCGCAGCTATTAGAGCCTCACTTGTCGACTACTCCACCAAATGCAGCACAAGATCGTGCGTAGGTATAGAGGGGGTCTTGTGGTGTGAGGCTTGTTTGGGCGTATTTCATAATCCAATTTTCGTCACTAGGAGATATCGTATCCACACTCACGAGTCTGCTTATCGACATGACTGTAAGAGTTCATTGAATAAGGGCAAATCCTCAATTAATTTGAATGTATTATTAACTAACTTTTCTCAGTTATAAAGGCGTTCCCAACGAGTAGATTCTTGAGGCTATATACTAACGACCAGACCTCCGATGACCTAGTAATCGAGGCAGGGGTCACTTCTAGGATCAACCCTCTTTTTACTTCACATAAACTGTATCATTTGTGAATATCTATGCTGATGATACGTCGATATATGAGTGTAACTACAAAACTTGTGATGACTGGCAACTGATCTCACATCCGATGTACCTTTAACATCTTCGTGTGTGAAAAAAATGGCTAGTTACATCAAGTGGAACGCATATATCCGGTCCATATTTAAAGATGCAAGAAAAATGTCCGGTGACATCTCACTAATTTAATATTTATTCATTTATTCTTTCATATTATTTTATATTTTTATAACACACTCATTCTTTATTTATTTCTAAATAACTTAAGTTTCTCTTTCTTTTTTTCATTCTTTCTTGCTCCCTGAATAATTTAATTTTTTTTCTTTCTTCCCCTCTTTTTGAATAATTTATTTTTCCCGCTTTTGCGCTCTCAATGATTTAATTTTGACCTCTCTCGTTTTTCTTTCTTTCTTTCCCAATAACCTTAATCATTCTTTCTTCTTTAAATATAGTAATTCTTTCATTCGTCCATTCTTTCATTCGTCCATTCTTTCATTCGTCCATTCTTTCATTCGTCCATTCTTTCTTTTGTTCATTCTTTCATTCATTCATTTTTCTGTTTTTATCTTTCGATCGTTTTTCTTTCATTCTCTTTCGTTCGTTTTCTTTTTTTCTTTCTTTCTTTCTTTCTGTCTTTCTTTCTTGCGTTATTTTGTTATTTTTCTTCTTTCTAAATAACAGATACTACACAAAAGACATGATTCCAGTTAACAGAACAAAATAACATGAAAATTTGCTGGTATAGTATCTGTGCAATTCTTAAAGTTCCCCCTCAAAACATCTACATATGGGTAGATGCCATATTTTACCTATATGGATATTTGTATGATTTATTCATGCCTAAATACTTCCTGCCCTTATCTCCTGAGCTAATAAACTGTACAACCGAACTGTCAAAAAATGACAGCTTTATTTTGCAGTTGTAGTTATTTTTAAACTGCCGAGACATTAACGCTGCATGTGCTTGCTTAGAGAATATTAGTCTAAGCTAATACAGGTCTATTTGCCATTGTAAAAAAAAATTATGAAGTTTTACTCACCGCAAAGAAAGAAAGAAAGAAAGAAAGAAAAAAAGAGAAAAAGAAAAATGAAAGAAACTAAGAAAAATTAAAATATTGTAAAAGAAAGGAAAAAAGGATAAAAAAAAATTAAATTTTTGAAAAACAAAAAAGAATGAGTAGTAGAAACATTATCGTGAAAGAAAGAAAGAAAGAAAGAAAAAGAAAAACTAAAATTATAGTAAAGGAAAGTATCATTATTGTAAAATGAAGATAAAAAAAATGAAAGTAAAAGAAAAAATAAAAGAAAGTAAGAAAGAAAGAGAAAAAATAAAATATAGTAAAGGAAGGTATCTTTATTGTAAAAGAAAGAAAGAAAGAAAGGAAGAAAGAAGATGTGAAAAATGAAGTCATTGAAAATAAAGAAGGAAGCAGAAATACACTTTTGAAAAAGAAAGAAAAGTTAAAATCAGTGCGAATAAAATTTAAAAAAAAGGAAGAAAACGAATACAATAGCAAAAGAAAAGAATGGAAATTGAGTTTGAAAGAAAGAAAGAAAGAAAAAGAAAGAAAGAAAGAAAAAAGAAAGAAAGTAAGAAAGAAAAAGAAAGAAAGAAATGAAATAGGGGATTGAAAAAATGACAGAAAAAAAGAACGAAGTTGAGGAAGGATATGAACACAATTTCAAAAACAATGACGAAAGAAATGGCTGACGTCTCTGGAGTTGAAGTGAATTGATCCGGACTAATGATAACGAATTGAAAACGAGGAAAACTGAAAAATGTAAGACAAGAAAGATGAGGGAAAAGGGGATGAGGGAAAGTGATGACTATTGGAATGGCAACGATGTAAAAAAAAAATAACCCAGAAAAAATACATGAAAATGAGAAAAAGAAAAATCAGGAAAAGCGCGAATGGAGGTATAAAATAAAAGAGGAGAAAAGGAAGAGAAAATGAGACTTAAAAAAGAAGAGGAGTAAAAAAAAAAGAACATGAGGAGAGAAAGAAGAATAATGAGAAGAAAAAAGAGAAGGAGAAAAATAAGATTAAGTAAGAAAAGGAGGTGAAAAAGGACGTTAAAGTGTAAGAAGGAAAGAGGGATCATGAAAAGCTTAAGAAGGACAGTAACGTGAAAAAATATAGAAGAAAAATAGAAATGCAGGAGGAAGATTAGATGAAGCAGAATAAGAAGTCGGAGGAGTAAAAGGGTTTGAAGAAGAGAAAAAAGAAATGGAGGTGGATAAAAAGACATCTAACAGAGAAGAAGAAAAAAGAATAAGGGGGAGAAAGAAGAGAAAATGTGGAGTGAGGGGGGAAAAAAAGTATAAGAGAGATCACGATGCGAATGGTACTTCCTTAAGCATGGCGGAAAGTATAAAGATGTGACGCTAAGCGGAAAGCATAGGGCACCAGATGAGGATTGAACTCGCTATACAGTCGGAATTGATGTAGTGAGAAAAACTTGCTAACTGTTGTGTAGGAACCTACCACCCCTCTTGAAGATGAACTCGTCTACAAACAAGGACGTTAAATATGGCAGGTCAAAAGACAGTGTAGAAGAAGTTCTGGGCTGAGTTAGTTATAGACTACTCAGGCTATATCTGTACCAACTTACCAACCGAATAAACCCCATTTTATTGTTACATGTTATTTGGCGTTTGTCTTTATTAACCCCAAATTAACATCATAACACTAACAATTACCCCACAAGAAAAAAAAAACTGAATGATTATCTAAGCATAACTTTGATGCGGTACAACGGCAGAAGTATGGGACACCCAGTGAGAATCGAACTTACTATTGAGTCGAAATTGATCTAGCAAGTCAAGGTTGATACCCACTGAATATCTATGCTCAGATCATTTGTGAATATATATGCCGATGATACGACGATATATGAGTGTAACTACAAAACTTGTGATGACTGTCAGCTGATCTCACATCTGATGTAGCTTTAACATCTTGGTGTGGAAAAAAAAATGGCTAGTTACATCAAGTCGAACGCGTACAACCGGTCCATCGTTAAGAGACGCAGGAAAAATGCCCGGTGACATCTCACTAATTTAATATTTATTCATTTATTCTTTCATATTCTTTTATATTTTCTAACTCATACTTTATTTCTTTCTAAATAACTTAATTTTCTCTTTCTTTTTTTCATCCTTTCTTGTTTCCTGAATAATTTATTTTTTCTTTCTTTCCTTCTATTTCGATAATTTATTTTTCCCGCTTTTTTGCTCTCAATGATTTAATTTTGACTTCTTGTGTTTTTCTTTCTTTCTTTCTTTCTTTCTTTCTTTCTTTCTTTCTTTCTTATTTTCTTTCTTTCTTTCGCAATAATCTTTATCATTCTCCCTTCCTAAATAATTTAATTCTTTCATTCGTCCATTCTTTTTTTTTGTTCCTTCTTTCTTTCATTCATTCTTTTTTTTCTTTTTATATCTTTCGATCGTTCTTTCTTTCGTTCGTAAAAGTACCCACGATGTTAATGGGAATGAAAACTACGGAAAAAAATTAAGAAAAAAAGGAAGGAACATGAGAAAAAAATAAACAGAAGGATGAAGAAAAAATTTTCATATTGTAAGAATATTTTTGGAGATACCAAGGAATTCCTCGTATATGTTCTACTTATTAATCCATAGCTGTTGATAGATGAAGTAGATTGATACTTTTTCCAATGTTATTTGAGCGTAAGTGAATATAACGAACCCAACTGGAATTTGAACTCGGCTCTCCGATTTACAATTTTGAGTCATTATCCATTACACTACCAGCACATCCAAGCTTACAGCAACAGATCTTCTCAAGCGGTCACCCATTTAGGTACTGACTAGGTTCGACGTGATCGTACGAGAATCATTGTTTAGACGTGATATTGTCGTAACCCGGCCTAAGTAAAAAAAAAAATGGGAGCTAAAATGATGCGTATTTAGAGAGAAGGTGACATAATGAAAAAGAAGGAAAAAAGCGACGAATAAAGCAGTGGAAAAAGAGGCCCAAGAAAAGGAGAGAAAGAATCAGGAAAAGAGAATGAAGAACGAAGGCTTATTAAAAAAAAACATCTCTTATCACAAAAAGATGTAGAAACAAAGAATAAGAGAAAGAAATAATGGATTGAATCAACAAAACTGTTTATGTAAAGAGAAAAATTAAGAAAGCCAATGCGGAAAGATAACCTTTCAAAATCATAACATTTTATTCACATAGATACGAATGAATATATTCTTCTTCTATATGGCATGTCTATTCAAGATGTTTTTTACTAGGCATGAAAGTTAAACATTGTTGAGGGAGCCAAGATAGTTTAAAGTAACAGCGGTCTTCAAGGGAATAACCATTCTTTTGAGGGACTGTTTTTTGTAGAGACGAAAGTTAAAAGTTGTTGAGGGAGCCAAGGTAGTTTAAAGTAATAGTGGTCTTCAAGGGAATAACCATTCTTTTGACGGACTGTTTTTTTCTAGGCGTGAAAGTTAAATATTGCTGAGGGAGCAAAGGTAGTTTAAAGTAATTGTGGTCTCAAAGGAATAACAATTCTTTTGAGGGACTGGTTTTTTTTGTAGGCACGAAAGTTAAAACTTGTTGAGGGAGCCAAGGTAGTTTAAAGTAATAGTGGTCTTCAAGGGAATAACCATTCTTTTGACGGACTGTTTTTTTTTTCTAGGCGTGCAAGTTAAACATTGTTGAGGGAGCCAAGGTAGTTTATTGTAACAGTGGCCTCAGGGGAATAACCATCCTTTTCAGGAACTTTTCTTTGTAGGCACGAAAGTTAAAAATTGTTGAGTGAGCCTAGGTAGTTTAAAGTAACAGTGGTCTCATTTGTATTTTTGTTCTGTCTTCTAAACTCTATCCTACCATGCATTTAGACAATCTCGTTAGATATTTTGTTTTTCTGTTGTGGTTTGCTCCCTCTAATGTGGCTATTGTGGGCTCTTCCACTTAATATAAAATAGTAGGAAAGTAAGCCTCGGGTGAACAGCGATAGACTGTTCTACCGAGGCTGAGACTATTCACAGCTCCTGTCGAACTCTCTGCCTTGGGCGGAGAGGAACCCGGACGAGGTTGTTCCGAAGGCCAAGGTTTCGTCCGGGTAGGTAGACAGGCCCGAACCCGTTTATGCGGTTTCTACGGGGATTTTTTTGGCCGAGCCTACGGGCTCGGATGACCCACGTTAAACTCAGCCTTGTGCCACATATATCCCTCGAAGGGGGGAATGTTAAATATTAACAGTGATAGACTGTTCTACCGAGGCTGAGACTATTCACAGCTCCTGTCGAACTCTCTGCCTTGGGCGGAGAGGAACCCGGACGAGGTTGTGCCGAAGGGCAAGGTTTCGTCCGGGTAGGTAGACAGGCCCGAACCCGTTTATGCGGTTTCTACGGGGATTTTTTTGGCCGAGCCTACGGGTTCGGATGACCCACATTAAACTCAGCCTTGTGACACATATACCCCTCGAAGGGGGGAATGTTAAATATTAACAGTGATAGACTGTACTACTGAGGCTGTTTGCAGCTAATGTCGTACCATCTTTCAGCATTATGTATCCAAAAAATGTCAACTGTCTCTTCGGGGATTTAATTATAAGTGTCGTTTTGGTTTATTATTCACATTATTAGGACTACTGTCCACATCTTTGTTGGCATTTTTTATCACAACGTTTCGGCCGATGTACGCACCGGCCTTTTTCATGTGGCTGGAATGTCGAACTGAGCCCTTTATATCGCTAGCTCGGGTAGACTGTTCTACGTGCCATGTCCAATGTGTCCTTAAGGAGACATGACACAGTGGATAAAGGCGTTGGTTAGATCCAGTGACAAAGATTTGTGAGTTCAATACCTGGTTAAGGTAGTGGAGAACTTGGAAAAGAGAATTAAAACGAGATAGCTGATAACTGACATCCATTAGATATGGCACGTGGAACTAGAACAGTCTACCCCGGCGAGCAAAATAAAGGGTTTAGTTCCACATTCCAACCACCTGAAGAAGGCCGGAGCGTACATCGGCCGAAACGTTGTGATAAAAATAGCAACAAAGCTGAGGACAATAGTCAGAATAACGTAAATAGTGTACATAATACCTCATCTCAGAAATATAAACAGATACTGAAGGGCCGAAACGCTGTAGTAAATTTGGCGACAAAGGTGACGACAATAGACCGAATGATGTAAATAGTGTACATAATACCTCATCTCAGAAATATAGACAGATACTGAAAGGCCGAAACGTTGTAATAAATATGGCCACAAATATGAGGACAATAGACCGAATAACGTAAATAGTGTAACCTCATCTCAGAAATATAGATAGATACTGAAGGGCCGAAACGTTGTAATTATATGGTGACAAAGATGAGGACAATAGTCCGAATAATGTAAATAGTTTGCATAATACCTCATCTCAGAAATATAGACAGATACTGAAGAGCCGAAATTTTGTGATAAACATGGCAGCAAAGATGAGGACAATAATCCGAATAATGTAAATAGTGTACTTAATACCTCATCTCAGAAATATAGACAGATCCTTTTGTTTTATGTAAATCTTCATCGTAGCTCACATGTTCAGTCCATGGTATTCTTAGCATCTTTTTTAGGACCATATTTCTGTTGACTCAAGAACTAATATTATATAACAATCCAGTACCCCTTACATATATTCTAAGGAAATTTTTCTGCTTCTTAATACTTTGCTTAGTTTTTGGTAAGCAACTTTCGCTATCTCACATTACCTTCAGATTTCGTCCTCTGTTAAAACACATCCTAGATAATTAAATTGTTGTACTTTTTTTTTTTTGATTTTGGTATATCCTATTTGTACTTTATATGTTAGGTTGTTTCACTTACTGAAACCATATATTATAGCTTCTTACAATTAACGTTTAGTCCTTTCTACTCACTTTCCTTCTGTGCATTTTGTAAGCGTTCTTGCAGTTTCCTCTTCTGTGTCTGCTGTCAATACAGTGTCAGCTGCAAATCTTCTGTTTATTAAGATTGTGGCCGCCAACAACGAATCCTGGGCGGACTTCTAATTCTCTGAGAATCACTATATAGGTTGAATAACTCCGTTGAGAAGACACATCATTGTCTTACACCAGTTTCTATTTCTGTATAAATATTGAATTCATTTTCTGTCCGTATTCAGGAGGCTTGAAAACAGTATAGTTTCGGGATTATTTCAATATTCTTCACAAATACATTAGATATGTAAATAATAAATAAAAGTCATCTCAACAAAAACTTTGAAATCGTGTGACGT